GGGGGGGGGAAGGGGGGGCATAGCCAAAATTTTCCTAAGGGGACCCAAATTCCAAAGTCCATTTTGTTCGAGCCCATAAAACAACTAAATATTCTAAAATGCCACAGATATGTAAAAATGCCATTACCCAAAATTAACAGTTACCACAACCTGAAAATAAACCTTAAAATCATATTGTAAAATCAAAAATATCTTACTTAAAGGGTTCTGCTATAAACATTGTTATACTTCATGATGACATTATTATTTAATGAGCCTTACTCATACGGCAGCCATGTCATCTGGAGCGATAGATTCCTCCACACATCGCTTCGCATTCACCCGTGTGATGAATATATTAATATCTAATTGAAAAAACTAGACCCAGTCCCTTAGCAGACTCTGAATACATTAATACTTAATTGAATACTTTATAGACCCAGTCCCTCAGCAGACTCTGAATACATTAATACTTAATCAATGAATTACAGACCCAGTCCCTCAGCACTCTGAGTATATTAATACTTAACTGAATACATTATAGACCCAGTCCCTCAGCACTCTGAATATATTAATACTTAACTGAATACATTATAGACCCAGTCCCTCAGCAGACTCTGAATATATCAATACTTAATTGAATAAATTAAACCCAGTCCCTCAGCAGACTCTGAATATATCAATACTTGATTGAATAAATTAGACCCAGTCCCTCAGCAGACTCTGAATATATCAATACTTAATTGAATAAATTAGACCCAGTCCCTTAGCAGACTCTAAATACATTAATACTTAATTGAATACATTACTGGTCCATTCCCTCAGCAGCCTCGCATTTACCCATGTGATGAATATATCAATACTCAATGGAATAAATGAGTCAGTCCCTCAGCAGACTCTGAATGCATTAATTGAATAGGTTATAGATAACATCACTCTGATATATAAATCACTGTTGTGCAGTAAAACCTATGGGTAGTGGGGTGTGGTTATTTAGTAATTCTCCTACTTGCAATAATCCTCACAGTACAAAGGCTGCCTTGTCACCAAGGTACTCTCATGGGTCTGTAGGGAGTTCAGAGTCTGATATTCTTATCACCAGTGTTCACCATTAGAGGAGTTATTTGGTATGGTTTCATAAGCTGGCTGTTGTCGGGACAGTAATTTACTGCTGTGGTCCTGGTAAGGGGGGGGTAGCAACAATCTGTGCTGGTGGGACCTCGAGGAGGTGGTGGTGCTGGAGAGACCTCGAGGAGGTATTGGTGCTGGCCAGACCTCAAGGAGGTATTGGTGCTGGCGAGACCTCGAGGAGGTATTGATGAGGGTTGGATCTTAGGGGGCATTTGTTAAAAAAGGGCATGGAGAGGGTAAAGATGGAATTAATTAAAAATCATAGAAACATACTAAGTCCAAAGTTAAAGTTTATTTTTCAAACACAACATGCATTACAAGACAATTTGTACAAGTCAAAAGAACTATTTAAGGAAAAAATACCAAGTCCATCGCTTGTCTTTTTCTGAAAACAATATACAAAAAATTCATAAGTACCCTATACAAGTATTGAGGTTTATCCACACCTCTCCCTATTCTCTATTTGTGCATAACCCATAATACTTTGTGCCTTGCAAGTAACCAATCAAAAAACTGTCCCAAATTGAATTGTTTTTGAATTGAAATTATATACCTGCTTTTAACTGTACAATATTGTTTATCAGTTTGTTCAAAGTTATTTTTGAGTGTACAGATCTTCAAAAGTTTGTGTTACAGAAAATGTATACTTACAAAAAATGTTTAAAATTTACCTTACCTTGGTTACTCCCGAAACACGCAAAGTATTATGGGTATTGAAAGTAATATGTGTAGAGAATTGAGGTTTATCCCCACCTCACCCTATTGAGGTTTATCCACACCTCACCCTATAGAGGTTTATCCCCACCTCACCCTATAGAGGTTTATCCCCACCTCACCCTATAGAGGTTTATCCCCACCTCTCCCTATAGAGGTTTATCCCCACCTCTCCCTATTGAGGTTTATACCCACCTCACCCTATCGAGGTTTATCCACACCTCACCCTATAGAGGTTTATCGCCACCTCTCCCTATTGAGGTTTATCCCCACCTCACCCTATTGAGGTTTATCCCCACCTCACCCTATAGAGGTTTATCCCCACCTCACCCTATAGAGGTTTATCCCCACCTCACCCTATTGAGGTTTATCCCCACCTCACCCTATTAAGGTTTATCCCCACCTCNTCCCCACCTCACCCTATTGAGGTTTATCCCCACCTCACCCTATTAAGGTTTATCCCCACCTCACCCTATTAAGGTTTATCCCCACCTCACCCTATTAAGGTTTATCCCCACCTCACCCTATTAAACGTTTAACTATCGAATTGCTAACATCTTGGCGAGTATGTGATTGAGTTACACACTTGCATATTCAGTCCCCACACTCATTTCTGTGCTTTACATATCTGCATGTTAAGGATGGTGCCTACTATTGTCCACGCCCAAATGTACTGTGCATCTACATTCGAGGAATTTCAAAATTTATTACTGGAATTGCACAAAAAAACGCATTTTCAATAAAAGTTAAATCAGAAAACTATCTTAAGTAACCTAGGCTAGAGATAATCTGCTTAGGTTCAAGTAATAATGACAAAGAATCAGAAAGTTTTTTGGGCGTGTTTTTAAAAAACCGAAGACTCATACTCCTAAGAAACCAAGTCCTTTCATTAATAAAGCTTAGCCGTACCATTTCTCTAGATTTAACTCTATAAAACTTGATTAAAAACAAACAAGAAATACATGTGAAATAGAAAATTTACCATTTATTAATATATACAGTCAATGTCATTAACGTTGTCCACCGAAAAAAGACATTTACACATTTAGACTAAAAGAAATATCACGTGTTTCATTATGTATTCTTTGCCTCGTGTGCATCAGCCTGAACTTTAAATGTAAAATTCAACTCGTGAATCGAAAATCCAGAATGCCCCGACGAGGATTTAAGATGGAGAATGGTACATTTCAGCGTTTGTTTTATGCTAGAACCTTCAAGGAAACACGTGATATTTCTTTTAGTCTAAGTGTGTAAATGTCTAAATTTATAAATGTCTTTTTTTAGTGGACAACGTTAATGACATTGACTGTGGTGTGTAATTATAGTTTTGAAAATCTTTTTTTAATCGCTAAACACTTTTATCATGAAAGTCTATTACTTCAGAGTTTTCAAACTAAAAAAATCATCTTATTACGTAACAAATATTTTGAGAAATTCCTTTCTGCTGTGAAGTAAAAAGTATATAATAACTACTTCAAAGTCAATATTCTTCCTGGAACTATAAAGCTTGAAAATGTCGAGTTTTTCCCTGTGATTTTGGTTTGCATGGCCGGGATACAGCATCCTTTAGCTTGTGCAAACGTGCCGAAAACAGAATTTGTCACGCCGTTTTGTATGCTGTGTAAAGCTTGTCTCTCAGTCGGCATAAGATTTATCCCTAATAATATTCTTTAAAAATTCATCTCTCTAAAAAATGCCTGGATAGAAGTATTTTTTCTTCGCTTAAATCAAAGTAAATGACAAAGTAGCCTTGTGAAATGAAAATTATAACAAATAATGGTTTTTTAAAAGAATATGGACACAATCTCTACGTACCTAATGATCGAAAAATAGGGTGCATGAAGCTAAATTCTTTTTTTTTAAATAAGAGATTATAATCATGATAGTAGGGGTAATTTTAGCCAATAAACAAAGTGTCAGTCATATAGGACGATTTAAAATGGAAACTTATCAAAATATTTTCCAAAAAAAGTTTTTTTTCTGTGTTAGTAAAATAGTGACATCATCATTTTTTAACAATTTTTAAGCCTTATTATTTCTTTTAAATGCAAGGTGACCCCTACTTTTCTAACAAGAATTTAACAACCCTTTGATAGGTAAAAACAATTCACATATTCTTTTAAAAATAATAATTGATTATCAATAGTAGGCACCATCCTTAAAAAGGTATTCTATGACCGCTGTTACCACAGGTAACCTGGTAATAAATATATCTCTGAGATATATTCATATAGTGATGAAGTGGTAGATTCGTAATATACTTCTGGTAAATCCCTGTTGGTCTTTGTCCAATCAGATGTGCGTCCAGAATATCAGAATATGGAAACTCAACACAAGTTCTGAAAATCATTGTAGACAGGTCCACTTTCTTCCCTCTGATCTCCTCCCCTCCAACCCCCCCTCCCTTGCATGGGCCTAAAACTCAGGTTATATCTGAACAACTATAATATTTACTTGCCTTATTTGTGCTGAAACACCATACTGAGAGGAATTATAGGTTTTTGCCCCTGCTCCGGCACTCATAGTTGTAATGCATCATTTTCATACCACATTTTGATTGGTTCACTGTCTAACTGGTTTAAGTGACCGCAGTTACAGTAGTGTCACACAGTAAACAGCGTCAGTCTTTTCAAGCTCCCAAAATGCCTCTGGATCTGTAAAAAAATGGAGGTTACCATGCATCTAAACAAGATAATTAACGTTACAGTAATTAACATTATTAGCAAAGATGAAATAAACATTTCATAAGAAAGACTGTTTCAAATTTATTTTTTCCCACAATAGAACCTCTTTGTGGAGCATTTGTTTTTTAGAGGGTGAGGGGGAGGGAGCTGGAGGAATAGCTGTTTGCATGTGACCCATTTGCTTGCCAATCCATATCCCCATTGGAGGAATTACTTTCTGGTTTTGAACCAAAATTTCTCAACTGCAAGTGGCTCCTAGGCTAAAATTTTCACTAATCATGTTTACATAGTCATAATTGAGTTATATTATCCTCAAATACTTCAGTTATCTGGACTTTCAAAAATTGGGGCGTTTTCATCCAAGTGCCCCTTTAAAGATTTTACTATCAAACAGCTTAAGAACAGTTCCAAAAAGAAAACATGTACATCATTATGGCTGAATATATGGGAGAAATAGTGAGAAGAAAACAAACTATGACATGAATGGAGGGAAATGAGCCAGCCAGTCTAAAGAAAACACTTAAGCGATTCTTTGCCAAAGTTAGGCAAAAAATAAAACAGAAACTTAAAAGACTAAGAGCAAGACCATTAAACACAATGTGAATTTCATAAAACATTAAACTTATTACCCCTATGACTGTATGTTCCATTCTCTGTCACAACCCTTCACTGTCACCTGAAATGAAAAGAGAAAATTCAAATTTAGGAAAATCATTAAATTGATTAATAGTAAGACTGATTCCATAAGTCAGTCTAGGTTGAATTTTACTGCTAACAAGTCCTGTGTTTAAGTTGCTGCTTATTATGACCAGCCAAATTAGATTTACCAGTGTAGCTCAGTCATCACGGGAAAACATTTTCAATTCCTAATTCAAAAATATTGAAGCGAAATTAAGAAAATAATAATAATAAACCCAGATTCAGTAAATTATTATTGGGATCAATTTTATGGACAACAATTATTTTGCAATAAACATCCACAATTGGGAATTAAATACGTTTTCCCAGTTATTGGATGGAATGGAAATTTATTCCTACAGAAAAACCCAATGGAATATAATATGTGTTTCCCTAATGAAATTCCAATACTGCCTTTTCTTTTTCACTAAAAATATTGCTGCGTCTTATGACTAAAGACTCATTTGTACAGGCTTAGCTTCATTTAAAAGCAAACGATTTTCAGAAGTTGATTGTTAATGTAAAGAATGTACAACTTGAACCATACTATTGTGTCGAAATCCCACAGAATTGTAATGTTATCTGTTAATAGCTGACTCATAAACAAGGCTAAGCTTGTACAAATGAGTTTATGGTCTTCAAAAGCAGTGGTATCAATTGAATGTGAAACTGGTGCATTATGGGAATAAAATGGTTATTTAAAGTGCACTCGACCCCTAACACAATACTTTCAGAATTGATTCTACATAAAGTGAATAGTTGAATCTTGAAATATTTCTTCATTTGAATGCTGCATGTTTAAGATATGAAGGCTTATACTTCCATTATATCTATGACTATGACGTCTTCCCAGGCTTTATTAAATATACGCAACTTAGGCTGCGTTCATAATGTATGGCGGGGGGG